CAAACGCTTTACTAGACGCTGCCTAATGGTGATCTGTCTAATTTTAAGTTGTCGCTGTTGTTTTTGCCGCCAGAATTTCGCACAAGGCCATCGAAATGTTTTTAAATGCCTCTGCCGATACATGTCCCGGGGGCATACTTATGTTGGAAACTCTGATTAGCGCGGAGCTTCAGATCTCTTCGGGGCAGCGGATAATTACTATAGAAACGAAACTGTGAAGCAAGTGTGTAGAGGATGTCTAAAATAAAGTAAGAATAAGCCAAAGTTAAATAAGTAGAATAGGAGGTAAAATAATGCCATGACATCTGTAAAAAGTGGTATTAGGAGTAGCTTTAAAAGTACATTAGCTTAGCTTAGACTTGAAATTTAAAAATACATTTTTAGAAGGTGTTTTGCCAGTCATTTTAATTAGAGATGTATTAGGTAAGTGGAGCAATTTGTCAACCTTCAGCAATATTTTTGAGACTTTGTTGTGCACTGTGTAACGACTCATTTAAATATCATTTTAATAGGTGTTTATGCGAGTACTCGGTTATGTTGGAATGTTGTTTTCAATGTTGCAAATGTTACATACAAGTAGAAGCGACCTGTCACCTATTCTAAGCTCGAAACGTGTTCACATTTATTTTAACTAATGACTTCATTGTGTAATTTTCCATCTCCCATCAGCCATTTAATTTTTTGTGTTTTTGCTCGGCAACACAAATAAACACTAAATGGTCGCTTTTCAAGGTTAGTCGAGTCGTTTAAATGCAAATACAAATTTCGAAATTGCTTAGAACTTGTAAGTCGGAAAACGCAGACCCCAGAGAGAACTTTGCATAACTAATTAATAATACTTTGGCTTAGATGGCACTGAGATGCAACGAATGGAGTCAAGTAGCCCTGTTAGCATAGTCGTCGACACGCCCGTTACGGTGCCACAGAAATGGGCTATCGGATGTTTTCGATCGTTAAATATTTAAATGAACCACTTGCATACATTTTTATTTACTCGCGTCTTGTCTACGGCATTGCCATTTAATCTGGCCGGCCAGCCAGACAACCAGACAGCCAGACAGCCAGTTGGCCTATAAATATGCATGACTGTTTGATGGTTGCTGGTGGCTTCTCCGTGTGCTCGACAAGCATGTGCGGCGATCAAATAATTAGCTGCACACGGCCACTCATTAGATAAACAGCTATGCTCACAAATATCGCGCTCTCGAGGAGTATGTATTGACATTTCCCCTATGGCTTGCAAACTGATAAGAGCTTTGTGTGTGTGTTTCGAGGGGACTCTCGCTTTCTCTCGCGCTCTGTCTGCTGGCGCTTTCTCGGGCGGAAGGGTTCAATGAATGGTATGTCCTCTATTAGTACGCATAACGGTATCGCTAGTTATGCGAGTGTGTGAGTGCTACTGTCGCTGGCTTCGCCCTAGAGCGACACTGCACGCCCATGGGCTCTCTATTTCAAGGGGGGGTACCCGAAAATATTGATTTGTTGTTTGCCCGCCAGCACCCGGCTGCTCGGCCAACAACTGGTCGGCCGTGTTTGTTTGTTTATTTAATGTTTGCTTGACTCGAAAATTATTTGGGTTAAGTCAATATCAGCGCAATCAATGAATAGTGCGGTATAATATCGGTGCGATTGGTTGAGTAGAAAATGTTCGGCTGTTATAAGTCAAACAAAGAATAACGAAATAGTTTTGTGTGTGAATTCGTGCTGTGTAATTGCTTCCTGGTTAGTTGTTTTTCGATTATACTAAAATAAAGTTTAGCTTTAGCTCTGCTGCTCCCGCCACAAGCACCAGCACCAAGGAAACCAGCAGTGCATTTAATCACCATTGAATTGTGCAATCTTTTGAAACATTGCGCAATATTTTTCTGTGAAACTTTCCGAGAACTATGGAAAAGTAGGAGGGTGTGGAGAAAAGGAACGAAACGGAAAATCAAAAAGGAAAAGTATACTTAAAACTACCTTTTCATCATTTGCCTCTTTCAACATAAATATAGAAAAGTATTATAACTTGAAAATTATAGCCATCGACTTTTTATAAAGTAGTTGTGCACTTAATTTGTTTGGTTAGTGTTTGGTGTTTCCAATCTTATGACTTTTCTTGCACAATATTCAAGCTTTCTTATGGAGGAGCTGAGTTTAGAACTTTTCCTAAGAAAGATCGACCTAAAACATGTCAAGAGACATGGCTCTTGTGATTGTTTCACAAACTTCAGGGTAAACACTTATCCTTCAATCTCCCAATTCTATTTTTATATGTCTGTCTCATGCATTCAACGAATTTGTTATTTCCTTAAAATAAAACAAGAAACCGAATTAAAGAAGAGAAACAAATTCGCTGCTTGTCATTCGACGGAGATATGTATATCCTGGAATTGTGTATATGAAGAGGTTTACTTGAAAATTCGAAAGCACCCCTTTATGTTTCAGCTTGAAGTAAGTAATAGAATAAAACTCAAGACACTTCGGTAGATTCAGCGAAAATTAGTCATCTGCAATTTATAGTCCATTTTGCTGAACTCGGTATAATCCCATGATTTACTCATTGTCGGCAACTCCCCTACTGACTGCCATTATGCGGCAAGCCCTTCAATAACCAGGCAGCACTTATGTCGGTCATAACAACTACATGCCAATTAAAGAGCCGACCCGGGTGCTCACAGCAGTAAAGTCGAATCAACAGTCATCAGTCAACAACCAAATACCACACACACATAGACACACACTGGCCTAATGAAGATGCCGACTTGAAGGTGTATGTTCTGTGCGAATTATAGCAGTTGACAAAAAGCCATAAAAAGGCAGACGGTTACAGAAGCAGAGGAAGAAGGAGAAAAGTCACTACGGAGGAAGTCGTACAAAAGTCGCACAAAAGTCGCACAAAAGTCATACAAAAGTCGCACAACAAGGGCCGCACATTGTGTTGCGGAATAAAATGCTAAAATTATTCATTTTGCAAATAAGCAGCGTAAATATTTAATTAACAACTCAACACTCACACACACACACACACATAAATATATACACGGGATAAGTGGTGGCGGAGTGGGAGGACGGATATCGTTGTTGAGAGATAGTCACACATGCTCGCAGGCACCCCAAGATGGGACAAGAGGCCACATCGGGGTCGGGGTCGGGTTCGGCGTCGGCGTCGGCGTCGGGACGGAGTCTAAGGTTTCTGCGTACATGTGTGGTGGTAATATAATATTTATTTATATGTCGCATAGCAACTACCTAGGCATGGATAGGGATGTCGCAATTGTTGCTCTTGCCGAATTTCAAGTCACTGGCGTGCTTGCACATTTTCATACGCCGCGTGGTACGAAATGCCAAATAGTACGACTACTTACCGTAGCAGCTAGCCGTGTTCTGCTCGGTGCTACGGCAGATTTGTGTGTATATACGAGTGCGTGTGTGCCTAGCATTATTAACAGTGTCTCGGCGCTGCCCGGCCTCACGTTCGTCTATACCTTCCGCTCCGACTCAGCCCCTTCCCTGGACTAATTAAATTACTCCAGTCTGCAGCAAAAGGTTTTGCTAGTTCCTGTAGTGTTGCTGTAGCCGTTGCTTTCAGACCGCCGCTTTAATTGCCTTAGTGTGTTGGAGCCGTTGGCTTTGTTGCTTACTTACTTACTTACTTACTTACTTACTTACTTGCTTAATAGCTTTAATGGAGCGTCTGGCCACTGATTAGAAAATTTCATTGTTGACTGCCATTGTAGCTCGTGCAAAAGCTCCGGCTTAAAGTAGAGAGTAAATTAAAAATCAATATAGTACTTGTGCAGCCACTACCCACCATTTGTACACATGCGATATTGTAACTGAAATATTGCAATTAATAACCAATATGTTTACGCATTTTATAAGCCATCAAAGCGAATGGCTTCCCTTGCAAAGCAAGCCAAATGAACGCACCTATCTAACGTGCTCAGAAATTCCATTAAAAGGTGCTCAAAATAGCAACTAGGAAGTGAAGCGAGGCTAAGGCGAAGGTGTTAGTGGCCCAAAACCAGAACGCCCGTATACCAATTGAGTAAACCTCCCAAAAGGTTTTTGATTGCCTCTGGCGGCGTTTGCTTTTATTTCAGTATTTTCTTTTCCCTTTTTTCTGTAAACGTATGCATGTGTACTTCTCTCTCCCTCCCTCTCTTTCTCTCGACCTACGAGCATGATGAGCTCGTAAAGGCAACAAAAAAATTGTATTATTGCTTTTGGTGAGGCTATTAAAATGTCATCATTCGCTGGGTAGTGAGCTGTAACGATAAGTCAAAACACGCAACTTCAAATGCAGACTGCCATCGCTTTTATACTCGCATAGGCAGCTGCTTCAACCCTCGCCCCCTTCCCCGTATGCCTGTCCCAATTCCAAAGGAACAGCACAGCAATAACCCGTAGTCTCACCGTATTTATTATTTAACACATAGCTACGCAAACCTAAGCGGAAAACAGCTATAAAATGCTAGCCTGACCTTTTTTGCAGGCAATTGAGCGCGTGCTCGCACCGCCAACCAGCCAAGCAGCCAACCAGCCAACCAGCCAAGACAACAACCAGGCAACCACAACATCTATGCAAGGCGCCACCCCGCCCCCCTGACGCTCTGGGTGGCACTGGGCACTTTAGCGTGGTTTTTATGGCACGCCTTTTTTACGGGCGCCAGTCGGCATGTACACGGGTTAAAATATTTAAAAGTGCGCTTAATTATGCTGCGAAAAGGTAAAAAGAAGGCATTTCTCGGGCCACGACAGCTCGTAAAAGTTTTGGCTAAAAACAGAAGCTAGGAAGCTTGCCTTAAAGACAGGCGCGATTAAAGCCACCAAAAGTGTTTGTGCCTTGGATAATGTCGTTGTTATCGGATCTATTAACGATATGAATGGTGTTACTTGTGTCTCAATTGGTCAGCTGGAATGATGTTTTGATTATATTTCCTGATAACTTACAGAACTAATTTGATAATTCTATACTAGACTAACTCACCTATATAAATGCCTTTCTATCTTGACAGGCAACAATATTCGCTCACATCCTTATCGAAAGGTGCTCTGCTAACTTTGCGGTAAGTTTTGTGACTCTGGTCATCAATCCCATAGAACGTCCACGGTCCAGTCGTCCCGCGTTCTGTCCACTTGTTAAACACGCTGTACCGCCTGTCGCTTGCTATTCATGTTCGCCATCGTGGACATTCAAATTCAAATTGAATTACAACAAACACAGGCAGCAGGCAGGCAGGCAGGCAGGCAGGCAACTGACAGCAGCCAAATGCCTCGGACCGGATCGCATAAAATATGCAATTGCAAGTGCACTAGACATACGCACATATACACGTACATATATGTATACAGATATCGAGACTTAGAGACGTACGGCCGCTCACAACTGAGAGTGCGACTCAGGTGATATATCTTCGGGAAAACTAGTTTACGCAACATGTGGCATGTGCATTTTGCATGCCACACAAAAACAGACAAGGGAAAAAATTGACATTTTGACATGTGGCGGCAACGACGGACTTCAAGATTTGCCTCAGATAAACTACAAATGGCTTGGTTGGGGCATAGTCCCAGGCATGGGTCTGGCATTGGCAACGTTGCCATCGACTCCGTCGACTCCGTCGTCCGCTCCTCGCGTAATGTGTCTTTTAAACACAAATACAAATGTACAAATGTTATCGGTGCTGCAAAATAAATATCAAAGCTGTACGTGATGCTTGTTGTTGCTTTGGCTGCTACAATTTTTAATGGATTGACGGCGGACACCGAATACACATTAGAGACCGGGCGGGCAGCTCCGGTGCCAACAGACCAAGTCATGCACACACATGAGCCGAGCCATGTTCACTTGGACATCACCGAAGTCGATGCCGCTCTACGTTTCTGATACCCTGATACCCCACTCCAATCTACACTCTAAATTCTCCACCTCTCCAGCTGCTTGCTTCTCGTTTTTCGTTTTTCGTTTTTCATTTATCGTTTGCATGCCAAATTTTCCAGCTACTGCAATTTCCTTCGCATGCATTTCAATAACTGGTCATCCGTCGTCTCCACCGGCCCCACACTGGCATCGCCACCATTATTTCTATCATCTCCATAGGCGTCATAGTCGTTGTCGAATGGTTTGTTAGGCACGTACGATACATGCATGCGCCATAAAGTATCTCTGGGATATCAGTTAGCCGGCGTTCTCGAGTGTCAATGGCGGTATAGTATGGATGCGTCTCGATGCTCGTTTGGTTGTTGTTGATATTGCATATATTTATTTTATTTTAAATGCATTTGTTGTTCGCGCTGACTGCTGCTGAGGTACGAGTATTTGCATTGATAAACGCCGTTGGGCCCGTGCTGGAAGCGTTCACGAGCAGGCTGAGTGAATCAGTAGTTGCGGTTCTTTGTTAGCTAATTGGCAGTGGAACGAAATCCAAATCATGCCTTTATCTTCCAACATGAGATATCATAGAAACTTTATACCTGATGGTGTTGCATAGCTTCGGGGAAGACGAAGGTGACTTCTTAGCTCGTTTTCAATTATCACCTCATAAGTTGTCCTCCACTGTCCCACACAATCCGAACAGTGGCTCCTCCTCTCCATTTTGTTATAGGCCTATACTTATATGTTTGCTTGACTCATAAATAGGAACGTTATCAGGTGACAACTGGTTGGCTTTGCGTTTCTCTGGGAGCAGCAACCGCAACACCAAAAGCAACATCACAACACCAACATAGCAACATCGTTGCCAGTCAAATGCATAAATAAATAAATAATTTGCAACAATTACCATAAGTTGCCGCCGTCCCGACTCCCGACTCCCGCCCCATAGTGCGGCCATATTGTGTTAAAGTGTTTGCCATTAAAATTATGACTAACTTGAGTCCGCTGTTAATGATGATGATGTCAGTGTCAGCCATGGCTGTGACTACCATTCAATAACTTAAGTTCCAGCCACGCTCTATACATGTACCATCAGTAAGAGTATGCCCCGCAGCATCTGCATCGACATCGGTGTTGGCATCGCCACCGACACCGACATCGACATCGTTAAGTGTGGGGCTTTATGGGATGCTGTGCGACTCGACTATTATTTGCAGGGAACACACTCGGCTTTAATTAGCACTGGCTTGACAATTAAATATTATTTTGGCCTGATCTCCCTCCGCCAGCAGCTGACTTGCTACCTTGTTGGGTATCTCTCGAAAAGTCTGGCTAAAGGAATTGTCAACCTGTTTTAATTACCTAAATACTAAAGTGTTGTCGAGGAAAAAGGCATGGTCGCTGAATATCGGTATTGAATTTTTGCTAGTGTTATAAGCTATTTTAGAATTTAAAGACTCTGTTGGCTGGGGCTTGATGTTATTTTTATTTGCTGCTCGATTTTTATCTCATCTCATTGGTTCTGCATCCATTGCTGTTGCTTGTTTCTGGTACTTAGCTGGTGCTTGATGCCTAGGCTTTATGGTCCACAACGATTGTGGACCAGTCTTCATCAAGGCACATAAATTAGGGATCGATGTAAATATTTCGAGCGGCTTTTTTAATTAATTAATTTTTATTCATTGTTCATTTAAAGTGAATAGCACTAGTAGCCTTCTTTGCCTACCAAATCAACAATTTATAAAAATGAGGGAAAATACGTTCCAATATCTTTAATATCGTTATAGATATGTGCGTTTATCCGCCGAATTTTCCGAATTCTGATTAGGACAGCTACGCAATTACTCACAGTGAGCGGGAAGGAGAGAAAGTGTAGCCTTTTAAAATACAAGTAGTAGCTTTACAGACATTCTTCTGTTTTTTGTTAAATGTATTATATGTTGTTCTTGATGGCTAGATGTCATCTAGTGCAAATCCGCTGGACATCATGGTTATATATCTTGGAACACACTTCAACTGGATAGAGCGTTCAAATTGAAGTACCCTGATAAAACTCTGCAAAGTGCAAGGAAATTCCGTGGCAATCCTTTGGACAAATCCCCAAGCCACCTTTTGCAGTAGTGTGCCTCAAAGAGTCCCGCGCCCACATTCCTCTTTACTGCTTGACATCCTACTTGGGCGTCGCGGGCCCTTCAATGCGCTCCAATTGAATTTTATGGCAGACGAAACTGACCTACTTAAGGCACTTGTCATGTGGCCTGCCAAAGCGGCTCTAGTTCTCTGGCAGCCGGGTAGTATTGGGGTCGATTTGAATCGGCGGGTCGCTGGGTTACACCGTTTTCTGAGCGCGACTTTCAATCGCATTATAAATTTAATGCGTTGACCTTTTTGCGCGCCCAGCGACCGCAATTTCAGCTTTTATGCTGCTGCACACCCCTTTAATAGAAGTCGGAGAAATCTCGGCACAGATACGCCACCGAAAGTCAAACGCGCTGCCATAAAATTTAACTAAAATGGCTATAAGTAGCTGGCCATAACTGCAAATGAATCCGAGCTACAAGTGGGCCAAGATGAATTTTTCGATCTATGTATCTTTTAATACACTTTAAATCGGGTGGGTGGTGATGGGCATGTGGAGATTCAGGCTGTTATCAAGGCCGCATTCTTCGCATCCAAAACGCAGGAGTATGCGGGGAGGGGGTTTTGCCTCAATGCGCCAATATCATGCGTTTGGTGCCCGGCGTTTCCTGCATTGTTTTGCCTTTGCCTTTCTTTAGAGGTCGCACGATTGGCTTTTTTGTTATTGTTGACATGGACTAGTCATGGATAAAAATTGTGCGACAAAAGCTCGTCGTCGTCGAAGAAAGAAACTTTGTAAAGAGTTCTTTTTATGGCATTGAATAAAACGTCTTCAACTAGAAGCAAAACATTGAAAATTGTTTTTCTTTGGCACACATACGAGTACACAACACGCAACAACCCGGGCATGTTCCCACCCACCACCTATCCGTGCCCCAACCCCTTGCCATACATGAGCTCAGTTATTTTTGTTAAATTTGTCTTGACTGTCATCTTTTCTTTCGGTCTCGGCCATGTGCACTTCAAAGGCAGCTTGGAACTTTTTTTGCTGACATTTCACAGCCAGCCACATCCCTGCCCCTCCTGTTGAGTCCCCTTGCCCCACATTGGCCATTGAAATAAAACTCGTACTTATGCTTGAGCGATTTTTGCTCGTGCAAATATTTTATTGACTATTATTTGGCCTTGGTGTCCTGTAGTGTCCTTCTGTGCACTGCTCTTCTTGTTGGCGTTGTTCTGTTTATTATTTTAGATTTTTATTCTGGGCCGTTGTTTGCTGCAAAATTTAAGCACATTTCGATGTACACAAGCATATCAAAGTAAAGAGTCCCGAGAAACAAGAAACAGTGTCATGGCATCGATATCATTGTAAAGAGGAATAAGCTCGCAAAAGGTATATATTTTTTGTGGAATTGCAGTTGGAAGTTATTTTCGTTTTTTACATTAGCATCGAATCTGATTGAATCACATAAAAGTATCAGGCCCCTCAAAGGGAGAACCAGCCATTGCATGCATCATAAATCATCATTAAAGTCATCTAAGAAGCAAATTAAATGCAGCTTAAATGGAATCAAAATGATAATAATTTTCAATAATGTAAGTGGTGAGAGATTTCTTCGGAACAGAGGGAGGGAGGATTGTATTGAGATTAAGTTAGAAACATCATTCGATTTCGAACACTTTTGCTGAACAATCTTTACCACAAAAAGTAATTCCTACCGCTAAAGCTCCTCTATCTTAGGACTCACACATACATTCAAACATGTTCATACATAAATGGGTACACCTTAACAATTATGTTCTTGTTTAAAACGTTTTTCTAAATATTACACTCATTCTCATGTACAAGACCATAGAAACGATTGCTCTGATAAACATTAGGTAAACATTTAATTTGTCTAGTATATGCATGTATGTCAGTTGCAATAAATAATTGCCTAAATAAATATTCTACTTTATAAGAATGCAGTAGTGCCTTGCTTTGCTTGATTAAAACAAGCTCAGAAGTTGTTCTTAAATGTGCGAACCATGGTCAGATATTTTATGTGTGGGTATGTGTGTGTGTGCTGCGCTTGATATAAATGAACGAGCTTGTTTTTAATTAAAATACCA